ACTGAATTACTGGATCTTTACTGAAGTACAAAGAAGTGAAAGCTGCTTTTGCCTAAGAGCAGTATGAGCCTCGTGGAAAAGTGTGACTCTCCATATGTCCTGTTCTCAATCCTTTCTACCTGTAGTTTCCAGGTGCACCTTGTCCTATTTTTAATTTCATGCATAATAACAAAAGTTTTTTCATTTCTATTGTGAACAGTTTCCTTAAATTTACTTCCATCTAACAATACATTAGCAAATACAGAAGATAAGATCCAAGATACCATTTTGAAGTTCAAGGAATTCACAAATGAGTTAGTGGATAGTGGAATCTATATATGTACACATCAAATTGGCACTGTAAGATAACACACAATATACACCATATATGTGGATACACATTACTCTGACAGTGCCAGGAAAGATCAGTGTATACTAAAGAGACAAAGAAGATGGAGAAAAGTGATGGTATCTGATCTGAGCTTTAAGCATGAGTGGAATTCACAAAAACAAGGAGGTAGATTGCAACAATAAAAGGTCTTTAGAGTAGGAGCGAGAAGAACATATGTAACGAATATATGATAATGAGTCAGATAATCAGAAATATAATATTAATATATATTAATATAATAAATATAATAATATAATAAGAGTCAGATAATCAGAAAATAACTAGTATAGCAGGAGAGTTCACATTCCATCTTGTTTTGGTAATCCTAACATGCCCTGTGAGGTAAGAACCCTCTCATCATTAACAATGGCAGTGGGCATCAATGAAGATTTCCATACCTGAGAGCTGGTTTGGGAAGAAAGGCAAGAGACAATGGGCTTTAAGCACACACAATCTAACTTTAAAATTTCAGATGGTAGGTGACACAAGGGTCAACAGTGAGAAAAAAAAAAAAAGAAATATTAAAGGTCAAACTTTAAGCCAATTTCTTTCAACAAGTTAAGACTGATTTTAGATATACAGACTTTGAGATGATTCAGTGGGTAGCAAGAGATGTGGGACTGGCACTCAATAGAATTGAGAGGTTGATAAATACTTGGGAGTTATCTGCATATGGATGGCAGAGAATATGGAGAAGAAAGGAAAGGGAGGGCCGGCTCACTAGGCTAATCCTCCGCCTTGCGGCGCCGGCACACCGGGTTCTAGTCCCGGTCTCGGGGTGCCGGATTCTGTCCCAGTTGCCCCTCTTCCAGGCCAGCTCTCTGCTGTCGCCCGGGAAGGCAGTGGAGGATGGTTCAAGTCCTTGGGCCCTGCACCCCATGGGAGACCAGGAGAAGTACCTGGCTCCTGCCTTCGGATCAGCGCGGTGCGCTGGCCGCAGCGCACCAGCCGCGGCGGCCTTTGGAGGGTGAACCAACGGCAAAAGGAAGACCTTTCTCTCTGTCTCTCTCTCTCACAGTCCACTCTGCCTGTCAAAAAATAAAAATAAATAAATAAATAAATAAATAAATAAATAAAAATAAAAAAAGAAAGGAAAGGAAAGGGAACACACACACACACACACACACACACACAGTCTGTCCCTTGCAAAGGCAACAGAGACAGAGTCAGAGAGGTAGGAAGATAACTAGGAAAGCACAACCCAGGAAAAAGTAACCAATACAGGAAGGACAAACAAATTCACCGGAAAGATTACTGTTGGCCCTGGGTGGAGAAACAGCTGTTATAAACAGTAGACTATAAAGGGTTACTGAAAAGACAGGAAGGTGGAAATGGCCACACAAAGCAATAAAAGGAGAAAAATACAGGTTGGGAGCTAAGGTAGCAATGAGACCCCGTAAAGGATTATTTTCAAATTGAGGAACTCCATATACAGAGAGCCATGTGCAGAGATAAAAGTCGCAGAAGAAACAGCTTGAAGAGGAACGGAGGACAATAAGGAGATGACTGTTGGGTACAGGATAATAAAATCAACCAAGGGGCCAGCACTGTGGTGTAGTGAGTAAAGCCACCGCCTGCAGTGCTGGCATCCCATATGGGTGCTGGTTTAAGTCCCAGCTGCTCTACTTCAGATCCAGCTCTCTGCGATGGCCTGGGAAAGCAATGGAAGATGGCTCAAGTGCTTGGGCCCCGACACCCACGTGGGAGACCCAGAAGAGCTCCTGGCTCCTGGCTTTGGATCAGCCCAACTCCAGCTTCTGCAGTCATTTAGGGAGTGAACCAGTGAATGGAAGATTCTCCTCTCTCTCTGCCTCTGCCTCTCTGTAACTCTCCCTTTCAAATACATTAATCTTTAAAAAAATCAATCAAAATGCAAGGTGCCAATCATCCTGTGAGGCACTTTACCCATATTTTTCATTTGATTCTTACATGACCTCTATAAAGTGTTAGGAATTTGTATTATTCTAAATTATAGAGGAAAAACCCAAGATGTAGAGTGGTTAAACCACAAACCTATAAAGTGGCAGAGCCAGGAAATGTAGTGAGTCTGACACCAGATTGTTATAAATCTCTCTGTAAAACTGAAGAAAATATACATATGAATGTGAATTCCTAAATATTTATTGACTATTCAGAAGAAAAATGTTGATAAGACTGTAGATAGGCAGTTCAAGATAAGAAAAACATAAACATTTGAGCTTAGTTTTCCCATAAAACTTGATAAAATAGCAGTGTACCTCAAACAAGCTAACAATCCTCATCTCATGAAATGAAATGTGAAATCATCATTAGAAAAATTTCAAACTTTTTCAAATTTGTAGTTCATGTAAATATAGATAGGAAACAAATTTAGAACTTGTGCAGATTATTTTAACTGAATTAGGAAGACTAAACATAAAACAACAAGAAAACGTTAAGCCTTTTGGCTTTGAAAGTTTGCTTTCTGTGCTTGAGATATGCACTGATTTAATGACTTTTGTGATTTTATTAGATGGAAAAACAGAGAAAACTCAGAAAAGCCAAATTTTGATTAAGCACTCACTGATAGGTCAAAATTCCCTTCCTTCCTTCCTGATGCATTCATTTTGTCATTTCTTATTAGCAACATAATTAGAAAGCATGGTCACAAAGAAGCAATAAATTCTGCTATTTATTTACAGCTCTAGTAAATTTCCTTTTGCCAGAGAAACTGAAAAGTAAGTACTGAGGGCTGAACTTATGCATTTTAATTACTCATGTTATTCTTAATCTGTGCCTCATTATCTTAACTCAATAGGTAATGAAATTTACTTATTACCACTTCTGATTGTCTTGTGCTTCAAAAAAACTAAAAATGACAACTAAATGAAAAGTTTTAATTACTTTGTAATTTAATTACTATGTCAATTAATCATGTCATGACCATGGATAATGCACAGATACCTCTCTTAGGGTTGAATGAGTGATGATTCTACTATCCCCAAAGCTTTAATCTATTGCTCTTTTTCAATGAATTTATGTTCAAACATGCCTTATACTTACAGTACACAGTGCAGAAAAATTCAACAATTGGGACCTCCTGTGCTAATCATACATTTTGGATATCACAAAGCTTAACAGTAAGGACAAATGAGTCATGGAGAGATTCTGCTTGACAACAAAACTTCTATGAGAAACCAAACATTCAAAGAGAGTCCACTTAGCCAGAAGGGAAAAGTTTTCAGTGGTCTTTTAAACTGGCTATTTAAATTTACATTCTCAAAAGAGAAAAAAAATCAACAGGTAGATGTACTCAAATAACAAAATACTGCCTTATCCCCAAAACCTATATACTTTAAAATAGTAACTCCTAACTTTAGGAGCTATAAAAGACTATATTAGTAAGGATATCTATTTCTTCAGATGGGGGACATTTTTGTAAGTTATTTTATATTCCATTCTTTAACTATTTCAGCAATAACTGTTTAAAGTCTGTAACTTTTTTGTGTATCTTCAGAAGCTCAAAAATTGTATAAAAATAATGTAATTCAGGTAACCAACCCACCTGCTCTCCTTCCCCAAATCTCATTACCAGAGGAAAATTGGAGGTAATCTCTTTGACTTTTGCATTGGTTGTAAGTAAATAAAATAAATTCATTTACCCAATCAGAGTATTTATTACTTCCTAAGAATAGGTCTCTCTGACTAAATCATTCTCTCCACCCTAGCACAGTCCACCTGACCAACAGACTCTAACAAATGTCCTACATCAAAACAAAACAACGGAGCTAACAATTCTGAGCATTCATCTATTTAAAACCATTAGGACAAGCAGGGAAACCCAACATACAAATAACACATTAAAAAATGCCCACCCATAATTTCTTTCTGGCAATTACTTCCAGGAGGTGCTTCTACATCCAGTATTCTTTTTGTACTATGCAGCATTCAGGAAACATGGCCCAATAACATGGCTACATGTATTACTTACTGCTCTAAATAAAACACTGCCCAGTGTTCTATATTTCAAATGTATGAAACTTCTCTTTTTATCATTTCCCAAATAAAAGCTGAGAATATATTTTTCCTATTTGTAAAATGAAACTACCCAACACTGCACTTAGTGAAAATGATTTAATCTCCTTATGCCAAAGTTTAAGATATTTTAGCTACTAAGCTACTGAAAAAATGCTATTTTAAATTTTTTTGTATCATCTGCCACTCTACCAGCATTGTAAGAAATAGCCCTTCGAAATACTAGATCTTCTAGCTAACAAAATCTCCATGCATGAAAAAGCAATTTGGTTTTACATGATAATGCCTATGATACGATCTCATTTAATTTTATTGCTGTAATAATATTCACATGGTAAGCCATTCAAAGTTGCCTTTAATGGTATAATATGCAGGTAAATATTATTTAAAAACCAGTTTCAAAACTAGAAATCTACACAAAATACTGCTTTCTCACTGTAGTGCAATCTTTACAGGCCAGAATTCAAAGTAAGAAAATCCTTTTGCAAAAATCATTTTGCAAAAGATAAACATTGATAGCATACAAATAGTATGTATTCCCTAATACCTATATCCATCAAATAATAAGTGACCCGATACATTTAAAATGAACACTCCTGCATCAGAAATAGCATACTGAATTTTATGTTTCACTTACCTGCACCTCGCTTGTTCTCTGTTTAATAGTATCTTCTTTCTCCTTAAGGTCCTGTTCCACATTATTCTTTTCCCTAGAAGACCAGCAAACAATGCAAGAATATTTGAGAACATCAGCTACAGCTGGTATGGTTATCCATCCTCCTAATCCTGAATCGCTTTTTAAATACATAGTGAAACATTCAATCTTTAAACGAAGGGCAGATTTTTCTACCCTCTTAATAATTTATGGATTAGAAATCAATATAAAGCTCTGTTGTAAAAAAAAATTGCTTTCTCACTAAAATGTGGTGAAAAGAGAATAGATTAAAAAAGGAAGAAGAGAAAAACAATCAATGAAACACTCAGGTTTCACTGATCTCACTGTTGCTATAGAAATACTGTCCAATGAAAATTGCTGGTGAAGAAAAGGAGGGGTTGCATCAGCTCTATAAGCTTAACCCTTAAGTATCACTGTCACATTAAATGAAAATGGCTAATAGAAACAATCAACAATATTAAGGAAAAAGACCTGTAGTGAATGCTAATTTCCCCTTAAATTACAGTGTGCACCAATTTAAAAAATGAAACAGAGAAAATGGAAAAGACTGTTAATACGCAAGCAATTTGCACTAAAAATATATTTGCTCAAAAATGCTATTTTAGGATCACTTACCAAGCCCAATTGATCAAATATATAGAATATATACTACACTTCAAAAGAATCAATCATATTTATCTCATCTACACTTCAAACTGAAAACACTTGGCTCCACTTTACTTTGAAACAATATCTAAATTCTAAGCTTTGATCAAAGCTAGGTTCCAATGAATGAATCCCAAGCAACTCTAAATTCAGAATTAAAAAATAAAACTATTGCTTTTGATAAATCAAATATAACTGCCCACTTGTAGTGAAATTTCAAGACTGCTCTCTTTTTCTTTTTTACAAACTGAAGAAAAAGTCCATAGAATTCTGCAGCAATATATTTTGGGGTGGAAGGAAAGGCTCAAGAATGCAATACAGAGGAGAGGGGTGGGATGTTTAGCATTTAAGAAGTCCTCCAGTCCATTACTGCAGAGTTTCTCCTGAGAGCTTCACGGCTATATTTCAGTTTCTGACCCTAACACAATCCAAATGTGAGCTCAGATTCCATTTATCTCTGGCATAAAGGAAAGTGAGACAATTATACAAAAGGTGATACCTAAGGGACAAAGACATGCTTCATTTATTCTTATCACATTTTTAAGCTGACATTTTAAATGTAGACAAAATCTAACTGTTTTGGATACACAGACAGTGTTCTTAGGATTTGTATGGAAATGAAAAAAACACACAAATAAACCTATTTGTATAATCTTATTTTTAAACAATTGAGAAAGCCAAGGAGCTCACTAACCATTTGTCAGAAGGGTTGCAATGTGGGTCACAATTCGTGAAGATTTTAAACAGTCCCTTACCACAGCGGATCATTGTTGAGCCCTGTTCTTTCCATACCTCAATTTACTTATTACACAAAGACCATCACCCTCTCTCCACCTTATCATATTAGGTAAAATCAAAAAATAGAAAATATTGGAAAAAAGTCTAAAAAAACTCACAAATTCTGAAAGCCTAATATTGCGAATTTTTTTCTTTCCTCCTTTTGTGAACAGATTTTCAGATTTGTGAACTGTTTTCAGTCCTGCTACAGCATGTCAGATAAGCCACATGAAAATCTAGCCACTTCTCCCAATCCCAAATCCTCAGAGGCATTCCACATAAGGTCAATATCAATTCAGCTCCTCCCTTCCAACACTTGAAGTAGAAAACGTTACACAGTACCACAGATCAACACTACACACATCAGTGTGAATTCTTTCTGCTCTGCTGTTAACTGCTGCTACTGACAGTGCCTGCTCAGAGCCAGTGTCTGTGCAGGAACACAGAGCTGTAAGAAAGCAGAGAGCTGTCTTAAAGTAGCCAAGACAGAAGAAATGTGAGAGCAAAAGAAGGAAGCTCACTGGTGAAAACAGAAAACACGTTACAGAGGACTCTCAGTGCTACCCAGCAAACACAATCTACATCTGAGTAAAATGGAGAAAGTGGAAGAGCACCAAATTTTCATCAGAATTTGGGGTGTTTGGGGGAGGGGAGGAATGATGGTGACGTCTCTAAAATACAACCCAAAGACCACCTCCATAAATAAGATATGGGAATCTTTAAGGCATTAGTTTCTCCTAGTACAGAATCAATGAAATTTAGCTTTCAATTCATGCTTATCTAATAAAATTCTGATCTCATAGCTCTTTTTATTATCAAAACCAAGTACCATGATATACATTGTAAATAAAAAACTTTATTTAAAAAGATTAAAATGTTCACTTTTATCACCTTCTATGAAAGATATTCAAAGGAATATCTGTCCTATACACTAGACTGACAATCAAATAGTTTTCTTGCTTACTTAAGACTAAAATTTTAGGGACTGACACTGTAGCACAGTGGGTAAAGCCACCAACTGTAGTGCCAGCATCCCATATGGATGCCAGTTTGATACCCGGCTGCTCCACTTCATATCCAGCTCTCTGATAAAGACTGGGAAGGCAACAGAAGATGGCCCAAGTCTTTGGGTCCCTGCACCCATATGGGAGGCCTGGAGCAGACTCCTGGCTTTTGAGTGGCCCAGCTCCGGCCATGGCAGCCATTTCGGGAGTGAGGCAGCAGATAGAAGACCTCTTTCTCTTTCTCTTTCTCTGCCTCTGCCTTAGTAGCTCTGCCTTTCAAATAAATCAATCATTAAAAAAAAAAAAAAAAAAGGCTACAATTTTAGGGTCAATGTTGTGGTGTAGTAGGCTAAACTTTGCCAGTAGTGCTGGCATTCCATATGGGTACCTGGGTACCAGTTTGATTCCCAGCTTTTTTTTTTTTTTTTTTTTTATTTGACAGGTAGAGTTATAGTGAGAGAGAGAAAGGTCTTCCTTCCGTTGGTTTACTCCCCAAATGGCCACTACGGCCGGCACTGCGACGATCCAAAGCCAGGAGCTAGGTGCTTCTTCCTGGTCTCCCATGTGGGTGCAGGGGCCCAAGCACTTGAGCCATCCTCCACTGCTCTCCTGGGCTTTTCCCAGCTTTTCCTCCTCCAATCCAGCTCTCTGCTTACAACCTGGGAAAGCAGTCGAAGATGGCCCAAGTGCTTGGGCCCCTGAACTCACATGGGAGGCCCGGAGGAGGCTCCTGGCTCCTGGCTTCAGATTGGCCCAGCTCTGGCTGTTGCAGCCATTTGAGGAGTGAACCAGCAGAAGGAAAACCTTTATCTTTGTCTCTTTCTCTCTCTGTCTGTAATTCTGCCTCTCAAATAAATTAGTAAAATCTCTAAAAACAGAGGCTACGATTTTAGATATGCAAATTGTTATTCTGCTGCCTTGTCCTTAGCATCTTTATCCTTCTCACTGGAAGCAAGTGGAAATATTGAAACATACATTTAGGTGCAATAAGGAACTGTGGTCATTTTTTCATTCTGGTCTCTTTCAAACATGAACAGTTTTCTGAAGGCGAAAGATGTAAAAAAGCACTCTGTTTAATATTAGTCATTAAAAAACTTAATTCTCTTTTCAAGGATCTGTGCCACAATAAAAAAAAAAAAGCATTTATAGGCAGATTTCCAAGGAGTCCACTACTAAATGTGAATAAGAATGATATAAAATGTATGTAAAAAAATCGATGGGTGATGCGGCAAGCATTTGATTAATACCCCACTTGGGAAACCCATCACACAACGGAGTTCCTGGGTTCAAGTCCTTGCTCCATTCCTGATTCCAGTTTCCTGCTAATGCATACTCAAGGAGGCAGCAGGTGACAGCTTATGAGAGGTCCCTGCCACCCACATGGGAGAATCACTTCATGTGTACCCAGAGATTGTAGATATTTCAGGAGTGAACCAACAGATGCAAGACCAATGAATTTTTTTCTCTCTCAAATAAAATAATTTAAAAATCAGTATATGTATTTTTATAAAGATTTATTTATTATTTTGAAAGGCAGAGTTAGAGAGAGAGAGAGAGAGAGAGAGAGGTCTTCCATCCGCTGGTTCACTCCTCCAATTGGCTGCAATGGCCAGAGCTTCGCTGATCCAAAGCCAGGAGCTACTTCCGGGTCTCCCACGTGGGTGCAGGGGCCCAAGGACTTGGACCATCTTCTGTTTTCCCAGGCCACAGCAGAGAGCTGGATCAGAAGTGGAACCACTGGGACACGAACCGGATGCCGGCACTGCAGGCTGCAGCTTTACCAGTTATGCCACAGCGCTGGCCTCTCAGTATATATCTTGCCCAAAGCCCAAACTAACATTTATTTTTAATGTCATGACATAAAAAGATATTGTCTTCAATTCAGTAATTTCCAAAAAATGGATAGGAAAATATAGTATCCATCTTCCAGTTGAAACAACTTCTCTAGTCCTATCCATCCTAAAATAAAAACCAGAAGTTGGCCGGCGCCGCAGCTCACTAGGCTAATCCTCCACCTTGTGGCGCTGGCACACCAGGTTCTAGTCCCAGTCAGGGCACCAGATTCTGTCCCGGTTGCCCCTCTTCCAGGCCAGCTCTCTGCTGTGGCCAGGGAGGGCAGTGGAGGATGGCCCAAGTGCTTGGGCCCTGCACCCCATGGGAGACCAGGAGAAGTACCTGGCTCCTGGCTTCAGATCAGCGGAGTGCGCCGGCCGCAGCGCGCCAGCCATGGCGGCCATTGGAGGGTGAACCAACGGCAAAAGGAAGACCTTTCTCTCTGTCTCTCTCTCTCACTGTCCACTCTGCCTGTCAAAAAAAAACAAAAACAAAAACAAAAACAAACAAAAAAAAACAAAACAAAAAACAAAACAAAACAAAAACAAACAAAAAAAAACACAAAACAAAACAAAAAAAGACCCAGAAGTACCAAAGCTATAGAAACCTAATAAGAAGTGTACAAAGCTTTTCACAAGGATAGGCAGGCTCAGGAACCTCGAGTCCATGTGATTCACTTTCATTTTCCCAGGCTCTGTTCATGGGGAGAAGGGAGTGAGCCATCTGTCACTGTTACAATTCCAATATTATCATGGATAACAAGATTAAATCACCT